AGCTTCCTCATCGTCTCCAATATTTCATTTTTGACAACTCATTAAAAATGGGCCAAATCCCAGAAAATATGATTCTGTCATGTTGTATAATATATAGTGTGGCCCATATGCAAAAGAAAATAGTTACTTAATGGTTTAGAATAATTTATTAGAATTTTTTTTTTTTTAGGTATCAGTAGCTGTTGAAAAGTGACTATGAAAAATCCATGGATTAAATACAGCTCTGTTAAACATTTAAAATAAGCGGTACTTATGGGAAAAATGATTGGAGCTTAAGCTTGTATAAATTGACAGCCTCTCTTCACTCCATTTTTCATCCTAAAGAAGTCTGCAAATATTCTTAACACACATCATTATTGCTCATCAGTGGTTCTAATTAGCTAAACTGGAGTTTGTCTCAGTCATTGATCATCATCAACTCTTTGACAGTGCATGCATCTATTTTTTCTGATTTGGGTAAACACTTTTTAATGTGCGATAGGCATGCATAGCGTATATTAATTGAAACAACCACAATTTTCCAACAATGCAATTTACTTTTAAAACCAATCTTTAAATCTGCTTTACCCCCTCTTTTTCTGTTTATCATACTTAAAATCATACTTATCATACTGAAGCTGTGGGTTCAATGGTATTTTAGAAGCTTGAAGCACAGAACAATATTATTTTGCATCCCTTTTGGGAGCCTCCCTATAATGAGTGTTGGAAGTTATCCTACGGCCACCAGGAGGAGATGCTGATAAAATTCTGTACCAGATTTTAATTTATGCTAAAGGCCTTTGTTCACATTTTCTATATGCAAATTTGGTGGTAAGATTTAGATGGCTATTATGTGTTATAGTGTTAACTGATTCCATTTTCCATGTGCATTTAGGATTTGTTTTACATCTGTTACCTGCAATATAAAAGAAAAATTACGTTGAGCTCATCCAAAACTAAATAAATCTCCCTTTTTTAAACAGAATCCAAGTAAAAAAAAATATTCTTAAAATTCTAATTATGTAACATGTAAGGGAAGTTTTAAAGATGCTATAAATAACTTAAATAGAAAATTTAACCCTGTTTATTATATCATTCATGTTATAATTACTGTACTTTGGATATTAACACAGTATGCATTCTTTCACTCAACTTTAATCTTTAATTGGATTAACTCACACTAGAAATTTCAGCATTATAAAGATGGGAAAATATAGGCTAGAGACATGCCAGCAAATGCCTCTTTTTTCTCACTTGAATAGGGTGTCTTAGTAGTACTAAAATGGACTTGTGGATTAAGGAATTTACTGCCACAAATGCTTATCATATGGATTTTAAAGCATTAAATGTTGCTGTAACAGATTTACCTGTAGTTTTTTGCCACAATATCCATTTTTAAGAGGACGTATCTTGATATTTGATACAGAAATAGAATAGAATAGAATAGAATAGAATTCTTTATTGGCCAAGTGTGGTTGAACATACAAGGAATTTGTCTTGGTGCAAATAATCTCAGTATACATAAAAGAAAAGATACATTCGTCAAGAATCATAAGGTACAACACTCAGTGATAGTCATGGGGTACAATAAGCAATCAAATCATACTAGGAAACAGTCAATATAAATCATAAGGATAGAAGTGACAAAGAGAGATAGAGAAAACTTTCCCCACACTGTTTTCTTTTTTGGTTTCATCTCCCAGTATCATGGGTATAAGTGTAAAATTGAGCTTGAAAAGAAAAAGAAACCCACAGTGATTAAGTCTTTGGATCAGTCTTTTTTGGGGGGAGGGGAACAAGGGGAGGGAGGCTCCGTAATGCTCCAGGCTCTGCATTTTTTGATTCCAGAGACTAGTAACAAGGATAACTTCTAGTTAAACTTCACTTCCATGAAGTCGAATGATTCAAATCAAGCTCATAGCCATCATGCAGCCTTTATGGAGATAACATTTGCATGAGCCTCATTCTTTACTGCTTTCATAGGTAATTAATTTATAACCAAAGAGCTGTCTTTCTGAGCAGTGGAATAAAAATTCAATTTGTGAATTAGTATATTTTCTGGAATATAAATATTCTGTAAAAGAAAAAAATATTTGAAAGACTTAAAAACTTTTGTAAAAACAGTTTAAAACAGATAAAGGGGACAGTTTAAAAGAAGAAAGTTTAAAACAGATAAAGGGGACAGTTATTTTGGAAAAAAAATACTTTGTGAAGGTGCTTTGGAATTTAATTAGACAACAAACCCTGGGAAGTTCCTTAGGAACTCAGTGGGATTGTAAAAGATAACACTAGGAGTCAGCGCATGACAGTTCACACACAGTTCAAGTGTAGCCTACACCAATATGATGTACTTTCCACGCTGATATCCTGCATTGGCTTGAACCCCTTAGCCAGGTAGGACTGGAATCAGATACAAGTTCAAGAGTAGAACTACCATCAGCTACCTTCTCTACATGGATATATGCTGTATACTAAAATGAACAAGACATTGACTTGCTGATCCACCTGAGATGGATTTACGGTAAGGGCATTGGGATATCATTTGGACTGGATATATTTGTCAATGATACTCAAGAGTGGTAAGCTATTTAGGACCCATGAGTGAAACTACCAAAAGGTCCCATAGCAGACATACAGACTGGCTATAAGTACTTTGAAATTCACATGGGAAACCATGGGGGCAATCACATGGGAACCATAATGATGAGGCAAGTCACCAGATACCTTGACAGTACAGTGAGCTGGCCAAAGTCATAAGATACTCAGAGAGCACAGTGAGCTGCCAAAAGAGGAAAATGAAGACTGCCAATGTGAAGATTCAGAAGCTCCTCACAATGTACAGAGCTTTCTACCCCAAGTTTGCACACAAGCTAAAAAGACAGTGGGCAGGGTCCAATGAGCGTCAAAGTCATTGTCCTGGATGAAACTCAGATTATCCAGGAGTACTTCGGTAAGAGGGCATCCACTGATGAACTGCTGAGAGAATGCCTAAGGCAACAATAGACATGGGAGGAAGATCAAGCCGAGGAAGTGCCATGGCAATACAAGTCCCTGCATGCAATGTATCATTCACATATAACCCAATGTGGCTGATAATTGGGAAAACTTACCTGTGACTTGAAAAGACTGGATAAAAGACAGCACTGAGGCACAGCACAAGAAGAGGCACTAAGCACCAGAGTCATAAAAGCAGGAGTTTACCTCAGATCTAGACTGGACCCAAAATGAGACTGTCCATAGAGACCTTGGAGTCAGTCCAACGTATAATGGCAGGTTATAAGATGCAGGCAGGAACACCATACACTAAGCAGCATAACCAAATAGGCTGGCATTTTGTACAAGAACATCTGCACAGTCTATGGCTAGATCTTCCCAAGTCCAGATTGTATGGAACATCAAGATTCAGATAGATTGTGGTTAATGATGCAGACATTGTTTCAGTAGACAAGGAACAGAAGACAGTGGTCCTGACAGAGTTACCATTTCCAAGTGATGACAACAACATATGGAAGAAGGAGTGTGAGAAGTTGGAGAAGTACCAGGACCTGAAGGAGCAACTAGAAAGTCAGAAAAGTAAAGGCCAAAGTGGTCCCAGTGGTGGTAAGAGCATTTAGGACTGTCATTCCTGTGCTGCAACAGTGACTCCAACATATCCTAGGAACATCATAGCTCCCTATCCAGAAGAGTGCAGTGCTAAGAACTGCTAAGATACTGTGCAGAATCCTCAAACTTCCATGTCTCTGATAGAAGACCTGAGATAGAAGACACATACAACCCATAGAGATGAAAAGGGAATTTAGAAAGAGAGAGAATGTTATATATGTAATATTTATACATATTGAAGGCTAAATTTTGTACCAAACTGCAATCCCTCAAAAGTCTCGAATTCCGATTGGTGTGTCCAATAAATAGACATGCTTGGCATTATTCTTTAGTAACATCTAGGAAATTACAAGTTTATTTCTTGTGTTTTACAACTTGGTATATTGATGTTTCAACAAATAAATTGTTTTGGGTTCTTACACTTTCAGTTATGATTTTTGTAGCTCAGTTGTGGTTTTTGGTTGATTGGGGAAGATTTGTGTAATCCCAGTATAAGGAACTATTTTCCAGTTCTCACACGCTGTTGCCAGTATTTCTTACTGATGTCCTTTTTCACAGAAAAACGACCTGGTTTCATACCTGGTTATCACAGGTATTTTTTCTAGGTGAGAAGTGATGATTTTATATGCAATTAGGCCAGGAAAAGTTGATGGAGTATGAATAAATGTATTTAGAAAATGTTAAATCCTAGATATTGTATGCAAACAAGATAATAATTAAAACAATCCAGCAGTATACAATTGTATAATGTTAATAATACTGAATTTTCTGATTTGTGCAGGAATGTAACAATATAAACAATGTAGCAAACCTGATAAATGTTGCTTTGTAATTAGCACTATTTGTTTTTTTCCTTTCTACTGCTGCATTTATTTATTTATTTTAGTATAAATTATGCCATACTGGTTTTTATTTTTGCCACATCTGGAACTTGATTGAGGATATACAGAGTAAGAATCATTTGGGAACAGAATCTCCCTCCCCAGTTTCTTAACAGTTGTTGATAGCATATCTTTCCAGTATACTAAAGAGAAAATAATGATGTTTGTTAATATGCTACTCTTACTATATTGCCAATATGAAAATAGGATTCCTTTGATATCAATAATGTAAAAGCAGGAAGGGAAGGATTCTTCAGAAATACTTCATCTGGAAGATATTCCATGTATCTTGTAAGTAAGTGTATCTAGTTTTGCTTTCATAAACATTACATCATTTAGAATAAAGTTGTCTTCGTTGTTTGCAGATAAAATGTGCTGTCACTTGCCATATGTTCCATGATTAATTCTGCAAGGCTGTCAGCCACAGATAATTTAATTTTCCATGCTCTAAAATGACATTCATTATTGGGACATGAAAAATTCAAATGATTAGCAGCAAATTATGACTAATAAGTGTCAATATATTTTTGTTTTTAGAGAAAAGCAGAAGGCTGAACTCAAGGACAGGAAGGTTTTAGAGATTTTGCAAGTTAAAGACAACAAAATTCAGACACTGGAGCAGGTTAGTGTTTTATTTAAACTAAAGGTTATAACGTTGCTCTAATTTCCTTGAAGCTGTACTACATACATTCTGTTTTCTAATATGTATATAGCTGATTGAGAGCTCAGTTTTCTGAGTATTATTAGCTACTGTTCCTAATTTGCCAGAATCAAAAACGTGCATGGAGGGATTTGGTTTCATGATATTACAATTTTATCTTTTATTATTTCTTCAGTAAGATCTGATTTGCTAGTAAACTGACCAAATTTATCCAGTTAAGATATAAGTTATTTTCTGTAGTCAATTACTTAATTGGCCTAATTCTACAAGATGATAAACGTTTGTGTTAATCTTGGAGCTATCAGGCTTTTTTTCTTTTTACCTCCTATTCTATTACTACTTTTGTCTGAACAAATGCTTAAATCGCCAGCTTTTTTTCCAGCAGGTACAAGCAGAAGAAAACTTTATCTGTGCAATAAGAAAAAGAATATTGAATATAGCCAAATCTAATTTATACTGTTCATCTTATCTTTTTTGCCCTGGCAAATGTATCTTCCTTTTACTGCATTTATATACAACTTCATACTTAGGTTGTATACATGGGTAGAAATACATTCTGATACGGAATCATTTTTGCCTTTTTTAGCAAAAAAAAAAAGATACATCATATGATTTTATCCATCACTTTTCTCCCAGCATTTGCATATCTTAAAAAATCACTTATTTTTCATTTTTTGGAAAACACATTCTACCAAGGCACACCAATCTATCAGGTTCATTATTTCTTACCACCGTTTTTCTCTTCACAGCATTTCTTGCCACAGTTTTTAAGTGAATCATTGCAGTTGTTGAGTTAGCAACATAGTTGTTAAGTGAATCTGGCTTGCCCAATGACTTCGCTTGTCTGAGGGTTGCAAAAGTGAATCACATGACCATCAGAAATATGAGTTAGTTGCCAAGCATCTGAATTTTAATCACATGTCTATGGGGATGCTGCAACATGAAAAATGGACATAAGTCATTTTTTTCAGTGCCGTTATAACTTGAAATGGTCACTAAACGAATGGTTGTAGGTCGAGGTCTACCTGTATCTAATATTCATTGTAAATCAGTTGGATACACAGCATCTATCAACTGTTAACGAAGGCTGAGGAAATTATGATTAACATTATTTTGAATTTTGAAAATGTTCTAAAAGTCTAGATAATTGCAGTAGGGGAATGGTTTGTTTCAAAACTCTTTTTCACTAGGACTTAGGGTGGCCCTTAGTCAAGTCTCAAAGTCTAAATATTCTTTATTTCTCTCTAGGAGAGTAAATTGAATGTAATTTCAGCCCTCAAACCACCACCCTCTGCTTAGTTTGGGCATGTAGATATTAATTTTACTTATTTTATAATCCTGTTATGTTCTGTACCAAGGTAAATCTTGATCCAGTTATTTATACCATTTTTTTTTAAATGTAGCAGACTATTGACATCTTGTGGTATAACCAGAGCATTTTACTTTAATTTCATTTCATATTTTTCTTTTTTCATATACCAGGTTTGCATTATAGTATCTAGACAATTACTTAGTTCACACATTTTAAATATTTAATTTAAAAAGAGGGAAGTATTTTTTTTCCAATACCTTTTTATTGTGTTTGTCTCTCAAAAATGGGATGAAGGACTGAACCACTATCTTATATGGCCAGGAATTGGCATTATATAAATTACCAGGCAAGAAAGATAGGCGTAAGAGCCCCATGTCTTATATATCAGGGTTATGGGGTGGATACTAGGGGAATGGTATGCTGGAAAATGGCAGCAATTACGGACAATTTTCTCTCTAATATCATGGGGCATGCAAGAGTGAGGAATCAAGTTTCAAGGAGGGGTGATTTGAGGCCTTGATTCTTTCCTATGGTGGGCTCTCAGCCTTCTTTTCGCTTGTTAATAATTGTTGTGATAATTTCTTCTATCTTTTTTAACTCAGGAGACTAGAGATTGGATTAAGCTTTTCTCCTTTCCTCACACCTTAATCTACCTATAACATATATTAGGGGAAAATGGGTCTGTAAATGATGTTAATCAAATACAAAGAAGAGCAAAGTTATTACAATAGCTTCAATCTCCAGCCATACAATTGACAATGAACACACTAAAGTAGAAAACAGCTTCTGCTTTTTAGTTTCAAATAGTAAAGGAACCAATAGTCAAGAAATACATCGCACTAGGATAAATTTTAACACCAAAAAAAGATGAAGACCTTGGAAAAAATATTCAGATGCTGTATGTATTTATGCCAACAAAGATCAGAATTGTGCAGCAATGCTTTTCCTTTTAACATTCTATAGAAATAGAAATTGGATTTTGAGAAAGTAAGCTAGAACATTGACTCTTTTGAACTTTGGTTTTGGAGAAGACTCTTGAGAATATCAAGCCAAAAATGTTGTTCTGACCCAACCCTGTTAACCAGCAAGAAAATCTCAAACAAACGCAGCAACTCAAATCTTCACAGCTTTAATCTACAAATAAACTTCTTTGTAGATAAAAGATGGCTTGCAGCCAGTTAGTCCAATCAGAAAAACCTTGACAGAATTCTTCAGATAACCTGGAGTCTCTACACACAATGCTGGATCCTTAGAATGTTTTTGCTTTCTGCAAAAGCAAAAACCTTGTGAAACCAGGCTTATATTCCTGGAGGGAGGGGCCATTACGTTGCATCCTTACTCCCGAATTGCCTGTGCTGCTCCAGCTGTTCTCTTCTATGAATTATCCTGCGCTCACGCACACTTGGCACAGGCTCCTCGGGAACCTCCTCATCACTGCTGCCAACCCCCACAATCCCTGGAGGCAGCAATCCACTCCCTGATGGTCCTGGCCCCTCATCAGAGTCATCGCTCTCCTCAGCCATCTGCACCTGCTGCCGGCTAACCACAGCAAATATAGACAAATGGATCAAAGAACAAATCAATTCAGAGTTTTCATTAGTAAAGAAAATGACACATTCAAATTATCATTTTTTTCAACATGTATAAAGACATAGCTATCTTAAGTAGTCTGTAATGCTAGGAAAGGTAGAAAAAGAAAGAAAAAGAAGACAGCCAGTAGCATGGTAGATAGACTGAATTGCAGTTGGTAGATACAGTGTTGAAGGATCAAGTTAGCAGATCCTCCTGGAGAAAATCTATATATGTGGGTGCTTACAGTTGATACCAACATAATGGCAATCATCAAATTGCCTTTTTGTTGACATCCACAACAAACTGAAATGATGCCAAAACTACAGCTCATGCACAGTGATGTTCATCATGTTAATGCCATCATGTTTTGTATCTTGATACCAGTGGCAAGTTTTTCATGATATTCGTATGATGGCATTATCAAACGTGTCACTTTTAGCTTGCCTGTTATCTCATCTTGTGGACACCGATCACCCTTTATTTTAACAGAATAACAGAGTTAGAATGCTCCTATGATTATAAGATCATAGTTGCCTTTTTTGAAGTTATAATTGGGATTTTTGTCATTGTGATGATTTTTGTGTGGATGTATGTTAAGACAAAAGTCAATCATGTTGTGGTCACTGTTGGAAAAGGATTCTTTAATTTGTATTCCGTAAATTGAATTCAAACTATTGCAGAAGATGAGATCAGGCGGTCAGTAATTATGTTTTCAGATATGCTTTTAAATAACTTTAAACATATATGTAACAAGTTGAATCTGCAACTATGGATTGGTGGGGCATTAGGAACAGTGTTATATTAGTGTTACTGTACAGGCTAGAAATGAACAGAGGAATTGACAGGAATTGCCTATCTAACTTTATTTGAATGGAATGGGATTTGGGATTCAGTCCAACATGTAAATGTTATGTGAGAGTTATGTTGATTTATCAATCTGGGTTGGTGGAGAGCTGATTTATGCCTCACTATTGGGATTTTAAGGGGTTTTCCCTCCTTTGTTTTCTTGTTCTCAGTCAGTTATTCCTAGAAGATCATTGTCAGGATGGGAATACATGTCTGGAGCAGTATTTCTCTTTCTTGATTTGCATAAAGACCCAAAGAGCTTTATGATAGCAGCTTTAGATTATTCATAAACAATTACCAGGTAGTCTATGCGCATAGACACTTTGATTTAAAGTACTGCAATAAAAAAATTAAACATTATCTTAGAAGTTTTTATGTGACCACTTTTCATTGTCAGTATTCATCTTTTTTAAAAAAAACACTGTTAATGCTAAACATAGCCATTTGGATGAAGCAGAGGATCTACTCAAAAAGTATTAAAAGTATCTCTTACCTTGATTTTAATGTGTTTGAAACTTAAAAAAAAGGTGTCTATGAAAACAGTGTAAATCTTATACATAAAGGGCAGTTTTCTCCCACGAGCTGTTCAGAGAATCCAATGATGGGAAGGTGCTTCAGTCCCTTCTAGGAAGGCTGGGCTTAAACTTGAGGATGCTCCTCCTCGTCCACGAGACTCCTCCTTAGCATCCCCAGTTTTAGCTCAGCCTATCTTCGGACAGGTTGTATTATTGTTTTCCTGGTCGGAACAGAACACTGGCGATTTAGCTGATTTAGCGGATTTATTTCTCAGGTCAGGTAATACCATAGTTTCTGTCACCAGCCATCCCCCGGGAACCTCCAAAAGTCATTTCACTCGTTTTTTGGTTTTGTTTTTACGTTCCAGCCTCCCAAGGCTAAAGCCTCATAAACGGGGAGGCTTATCTTTCCAATCTGCCCTGAGACTAAAAGCCTCTCCTTTCAGAGACATGCTGTCTTAAACTTCTAAACAAGGAGGCTTATCTCTCCGATCTCCCAGCCGGCTGAGTAAATGCTCTGTCCCTTCGAGGTTTGAAGTTTCCATTTAAAAGTGCAGCCTTTTTTCCTTTTTATTACAAGGCTTTCCCCGCAGAACACCTCAGGGCAGGGAATTAGCCCTTGTGCCTTCCCGCTGAACAGTTTTTCTTTCAGCAGGCCGGGCGGTGATAGCTGCTTTCGTTTTCATTCTGCCACGAGACAGCCAGCATTTTAAAGG